TATATATATGCAATCCATGGTGTGTGAGGCTGGTGCTGCGGCCCAGGCATAAACACGCCTGCTCGGCTACACGGCCGAAAGTCACGGCTGCGGCCTGACAGTTCCGATTGGTCACGGCTGCGGCCTGGCCATCGCAACACGGCATGCCCATGGCTGCGGCCTGGTGCTTCGCCCTTGAAGGAATGCAAGAGCCCACGGCTGCGGCCTGGGGGATTGCATGCGAGACGAAGGCCACGGCTGCGGCTTGGTGCTTCCCTCGCAAGGCCATGGCTGCGGCCTGGCAGCTTGCGGAGACAGCCCACGGCTGCGGCCTGGTGCTTTGCTGGCAAGACCATGGCTGCGGCCTGTTGGACGAGAAAACCCGTGCGAGCTGTTGCTGTTTCTCAGAGCAAAACCAATCATAGAGAAATCTGTATACACAAGAATTATATATATACATATATATATATAATATGTATATAATATAGACCCATACAAAACCTAAACCCTTGAGTATAAATAAGTCTGACCTGAAACTCTATCGCTCGCAGGCTGGCGAAGAGGAGGAGAAGAAGGGCGGCGGCGGCGACGAGGAGGACTCCGACGAGGATTCGGATTCCTCGGAGGAAGAGGAGGCCAAGGCTTCCTCCACGGCTGCGGCCGCTTCGGCTGCGGCCAAAGAAGCGGAACTGCGGGCCCAGCTCCTGCAGGAGAAGCGAGACCTTCGAACACCGGCAGAGCCTGCAGGGCCGCCTCCGAAGGCAAAGCTCTCTTCTCGCGAGGAGGTTTGCAGCAAGGATCGCGACTCGGACCGCGACCGAGGTCGCGAGAAGGGTCGCGACTCGGACCGCGACCGAGGTCGTGACAAGGATCGCGACCGGGACCGCGACCGAGGTCGTGAGAAGGATGGTGAAGGGGACCGCGACCGGAACCGCGACCGAGGTCATGGCAAGGATCGCGACCGAGGTCATGGCCAGCAGGATCGCAAAAAGGATTGCGACAAGGGTCGCGACGAGGATCGTGGCAAGCCTTCAGGCGAGGGCGACTCAGGGCAGCCTGAACGAAGGCCATGCCCTGTGTGTCAGCGGCTTGTGGCTGTGACCGCTGCTTCGTGGGATCAGCATCAACGCTCGGTTTACCACCAGGCGGCTCGCTTGAGGAAAGCTGGTTTCTCACCGGAGAGAGCCCAGCAGGAGGCGCAATCCATTTCGGACCGCCTCTGGCAATCCTACTACGGCTCAGCCAAGCGAACTGCGGTTCCGGCTGCAGCTGCAGAGCCCGCCCAGGCTAAGTCTGAGCAGCTGTCCAAAACAGCGCAGCGGAATGAGAAGCTGTCCAAAACAGCCCAGCGGAAAGCAAGGCAAGCCCGAGCCGACGAGGCCAGGGCCTCAAAAGCTGCGGCTGCTGAGCGGCACAAGAGAAAGAGGTCTCGCTCCCCTGTGGTCGACAGAACGGCAGAGCCGCGACCGCCAGGACCGCCTGGGCCACCTCCGGGCGGCGACCCAGGCGGATCCGTCGACAAGGGGGCCGTGCTGCAAGGCCTCTTCTCACAAGCCTTGAGTGCTTTGTCGACGATGTGAGGTGTTTCGGGCTCGCTGATGTTTAAAGTCTTGGGTTTTGTTTCTTACAGTTTAGGGTAGTTGACGGTTTCGGGTTTAGCAGGTTTCAGCAGCAGGAAACACTTCACAGCAGAGTAGCTTAGGCCGAGGTTCCGGGTACCGCTGCAGCCCCGAAGAGTAGCAAGACTAGAAGCCTCATATAGGCACCCAAACACCCAAAGCCTAAACCTGCAAAGCTGCACTGCAGTAGGAAGGGGCTCGCAGCAGGGAGGACGGAAGACCACCACTTTGCCGGACTGAGAGCCGAGAGAAAAAAGTTATTGGAGGGTTGCAGGGCTTGAAAGCTTCAGGTGTCTGGGAGGTAAAGAGCGGTCCTGTTGGAAAGCTTAAACTCCCAACCCTAAGCCCGAGACCGTGCAGCCCGAACCGAAGCCTAAACCCTAAACCCTAAACCCTAAACCCTAAACCCTAAACCCTAAACCCTAAATCCTAAATCCTAAACCCGAACCGAAGCCTAAACCCGAATCCTGATATTCGCAGACCGACGTGACACAAGACATACTCGCAGCTATAGACGGGGCTCTGGGTTCTATAGCTGGGAACAGCGGCTGTGCTTGCTGGCGATGGCTCTCGGCATGGGGGTAGGGCGTGTTCAGCTTCAAGACTGGAGTGCGCTCCCTCTGTACTTGAAGCCCTCCCACTGGGAGATGCTTCGCTCAAGCTCAAGCCCCTCTGCTTTGCACAAAGCACAAGAGCTTTTGGACTGGGCCATCGGCATGGGCCTTTCCCACCCCAGCGAGTTCAGCTTGGCAGTCGTGGCTCGGCTGCTGGCCCTGCCTGACCCTGTGACGGAGGAGAACAGGGGCAGACTGCACACTGTTTTGCTGACTGTGAAGAGCGTTTGCAAAACCAGGCTGCTTCGAGCACGGATGGCCGGGCAAGGCCAGCCAGCACAGCTGCAAACTTTGCCGACCAACACAGCGCACTTCCCTGCTGCACTGGCGGCCACCCTCTTTCCGCAGGGTTTCACTCAGCCAAGTGTCCCTTTGGCAGACTTGTTAGCTGATGCCCGCCTGGTACCTCTGCGGATCACGAACCGCACGCTGCAGTCCCCGGCCCAAGCACCAGCACCCCTTTCGTGGGTCGCGACCTGTCCCCAACAAGCCATGCAGCAGCTGTTGAACGTGGCCGTGCAGGCTTGCGGGGGGACAGGAGGCACTGCCGAGGCAGGTCTCAGGAACTTTCAGCTGCTGGGTTCGCAGCGCCAAAGCTCGGCCTCTGTGAGCCGAACTGCCTCCTTGCAGAACCTGCTGCAGCTGGAGAACCAAGTTCCGGAGAACAGTGCTGCTGCCAGCAGCCTGCCCGCCCTTCTGGACCAAGCTCCTCTGCCGGAAGTTGCAGAGGGACCCGCAGTCTCGCAAGGACCTCGTGCAGACCAGGCCGCCCAGCCGGTGACGGTGCAAGTGGAGACTCCAGCGGTGGAGTCTCCAGCGGTGCCTGAAACGACGCAGGCACCGGCACCTGCTGGTAGCATGGCAAGTTCCGTGCGGGCTCTTGCTGCCCAGCACTACGATGCCGAGCTTCCACCTCTGCCGACCGGTGCGGACGGGGCGAAGCAGGAAGCGTCCTCGCCGACTGCCTTGCCGCCGAGCCAGGGCAAAGGCCGAGGCAAAGGCAAGAACAAAGGCAAAGGCCGAGGCAAAGGCAAGAACAAAGGCAAGGGCAAAGGCAAGGTGGCGAAGAAACGGCCTGCGGCTGCAGAGCCGCTGAAGCGACCAGCCGCTGCCCTGACTGCGAAGCCGGAGTCAAAAACACTCACCGTGGCGGAGTGCCTTCGCCTCCGGCCCCTTGGTTGCTCGAAGTGCCGGCAGAGACCGGGCTGTTGCCCTTCGTGCTGGCGAAACAGAGGCAAGGTCGTGATCTGAGGCGTTTGTTCTCTTCTGGATGCAAGCTGCAGCAGCCAAGCATCCCGTCATGGATCTTTTCATCGGATACCGAGTCTTGTGGCGCTGGCGAGAAAACAAAGCTGTAGCAAACTGATAAAATTAGGGTTTAGGGTTTAGGGGTTTAGGGTTTATCTAAGGAATCTAAACGACACTGCGAGAGCCAGCACATCCAGACCTCAGCCAGTTCCGGGCTCAAACCATGTCGGGTCAGGGGCTTTTCACGGAGTATCCGAAGCATGGCCTCGTCCAGTGCTCTGTGTGCAAGCTTTGGGTTTCGGCGAGCGACCCAAGCGCGAAGCTAGAGCACTGCGACACTCCCGGGCACCGTGCCATGCTGCTGTGGCGGCGCCCCGGCAACAGCCTCGGCTGGTCCTTTTGCCTGGAGCAAGGCAAGCAAGACCGAAAGCATGACTGGAGGCACCTGGAAAGGTGTTTCCTAGATCCTTCCCTGGCTTCGGGATCAAGCACACCAGCCGAAGCCAAGCCCTCTGAGGCCGGGCCTTCCGGGACTGCGGCTCCGGCTTCCTCGAGGAGGAAGCGGAAGGTGAAGAAGCTAACTCAGGGAGCGATGGCCGAGAAGCAAACCGAGGAGGCTGCTGCCTGTGACTCTGAGATGCTTTCCTTCGATGAGTTTCTACGTCTCACTGAGAAGTGAAACGAAGGAGATGGGCCGAGACAGGCAGGCAAAAAGCTAGTTTACGGCAGCAGAAGGATTGTTTTCGGGGTTAGTAAATATCAGGAATGGAGGGTAGAAATAGGGATGTGTTTTTTGATGTTTTTTTGTGTTTTTGGACTTTCTTCTGATGTATTTTGGTTTGTGTTTTTGGATGGTGGTTTATATAAAATATAAAAGGAAGGACCAAAAACACATATGTGTTTTTGGTTTTGGGCTGGTTGGGAGTAATGTGTTTTTTTGTGTTTTTGCTCGTGCGGTGGTGGTCTGATTTCTTATGTGTTTCTGGCTTGGGGCGGCCATACTTGTGGGCCGAATTGCATGCTTTTCTGGGCTTTGCAGTTGTCTCTTAAACCCCACTGCAGCAGCTGTCGCAGTCCAAGCCGTTGCCTTGCCTCCCTGGCTTTCGCTTGGACACCATGGCAGCTCCGGCACAGCAGTCCCTGGACACGGCTCTGGACCTGCAGGAGCCGACCCAGTTGGTGGAGGCAGCCGCCTCTCAAGAAGCTCTTGCGCCGGCCGAGGAGGCAGCCGCAGGTCCTGGAGAAGGGCTCGTCGTGCAGACCTGCTTTTGCAGGCACTGCAAAGTGGAGCTTCCAACAAAGGACGCCCACAAGTACCCCAGTGTGAAGAACCCGAGCCTTCTCTACTCCTGCAAGGGGTGCTACTCGGCCCACACAAACCTCAGAAGGCACGGGGTCTCCGTGGAGGACCTTTGCCACGGCGAAGCTTTGCACAGCTACTTTTCGAAGCTGCGTGTTGAGCGCGAGCAGCAGGAAGCAGCGGACGGGCGGCTCAGCTACGGACGCCTGCGGGCCCAGCTCAAGCAGCACCTGGTGACGGAGCGGATCACGACCTTCGAGGCTTCGACCGAAGGGGAGTATCAGCCCTTGTCTTACTGGGAGCTGAAGGGCTACGACACGGGCGCCATCGAGAGCAATGCTCCCAGCCGCCAGCATCCAGTGCTGGGGATGACGTATCGGGTTGCCATCGACAAAGACAAGGAGGCAGAGATCGTGCGAGAGACGGAAAAGGTCCTTGTGGACATGGAAAGCAAGCTTCAGCAAAAGAAGCAGAAGCAGCTCCAGCCCGCTGAGGCCCGGAAAGCCCTGCAGGACGCTGGTGTGAAGCAGGAGCCGGAGGCTTTGGTGGACGTGTCTTCCGACGCCGGGCTGTCTGAGGCCGCCGAGGACGAGGCCCCTGCAGACAACAGGGGCAAGAAACGTAAAACCGAGGAGGAAAAGCAGGAGGCACGTGAGGAGAAAAAGAAGGCCAAGAGGGCCGAGAAGCAGGACCGCGTCGAGCTCGCCGCTGCAGCCAAGCTCTTGCCGGCCTTAAAGGCTGCACAGGAGAAGCTGCAGAAGGCTTGGGACAAGGTGAGCCCAGAGCTCAAGGAAGAGCTTCGCCCTGCGACTCAGGAAGCTGCCCAGACAGCACTGCAGAGCCTGGCAGACGTGCTGGCACAGGCCCAGGCTCGGCTCCAGGCGGCTGCGAAAGGCAAGGCCTTGACGGATGCCCTTGAAAGCTTGTGGCGATCCGAAAAGGATTTGAACCAGGAGATCAGGGCGGCCAACGCAGCTGTGCGCAGTCTGCAAAGCTTCTTCCGCGAGCACAGGGCGGCAGCCCCCAAAGCCAAGGGCAAAGCCGAGGCCAAGGGCAAAGCTCCGGGCAAGCGCAAGGGAGCTGCTCGCTGAGGCTGCCTCTGGGCATCCTGCAAGGGTTCAATCCGCATGCTCATGCTCCCGTTTTGTGCCGAAGGCGGAGGGGCATGCATGCATCTAGATCCTTCAGCCCATTTGGGGCTACGAAACTCTTGTAGATGCCGTCTGCAGGGTTAGAGGTTTCGGGCCACCCCCTAAACCCTAAACCCTAAACCCTAAAGCCTAAAGCCTAAACCCAAAACCCTAAACCCTAAAGCCTTAGCAAATGCCGGTCTCTAACTTCTCGCTTCGGCATCCAAGCACAAGCTCCTGGCCAAGCCTGGCCACGACGGGCACGGGCGCAATGCGCAAAAACGAGAGACAGAGACTGAGCAGCTGAAATAATAATACGAGTCAAGCCAGTATACCTTGGACCCGGAGTAGCTTCTGAACTTTCCTCTTGCTGCAGTTTCGTTTGCCTGCTCAAGCCGCCTCCTTCTAGGTATGTCGGCTAAGTGCAGCACTCCTGGCTGCGAGGTCCTGCTCCTCGACCCCACACACCGGCACTGTTGCAGTGTGTGTGCTCGGTATGGTCGGGGCCACACTAAAAGGTGCCGGGCTGTTCAGAGCGGCGACACCTACAAAAAGTGCCGACGGTGCGACCGGCAGGCAGGCCCCGGCTATAGACACTGTTGCGGCCTCTGTAAGGAAGGCCTGCACAGTGAAGGCTGCGACAGAAGGCACTTTGCCATGGCCCCTCCG